ATTATTGGCTTGAATTTCACATTATCTGAAAACAGAATAGCCATCCCTGCTTTTTTTTTTTTTTTGGGTTCCTGTTGCATGAAGTATTGTTTTCCACCCTTTGACTTTCAGTCCGTGGGTATCCTTTTGGGTTAGATGGGTTTCTGGTAGACAACATATATTGGATTTTATTTCTTGATCCATTCTGCCAGTCTGTTTCTTTTAATTGGTGCATTGAGACCATTTACATTAATGGTTATAACTGTTATATATTGGTTTATTGTTGACATGTTATCTTTCTGCTGTTGCATCTTTGTTTTTCGGTTCTGTTTAATTGTCTGCTTTGTTTAGTGGTTTTTTTCCTAGATGCATCTAGGCTGCCTTTCAGTATTCTTTGCAGGGTTGGCCTGGTGATGATGTAGTTTTTCAGCTGTTCTTTGTTATGGAAGTATCTTATTTCTCCATCCATTTTGAAGGACAGTTTTGCAGAATACATCAGCCTAGTTTGGAAATCATTTTGCTTTGGATCTGAAATACTTTGTTCCATGCTCTTCTTGACTTTATTGTTTGTGCTGAGAAGTCTGCTGTGATTCTGATGGGCTTTCCTTTGTAGGTGATCTGTCTTTTCTCTCTTACAGCTTTTAATATTCTATTCTTTTGTTCAATTCCTGGGATGGCGATTACTATGTGTCTGGGAGTAGTTTTATTTTGGTTATTGCTATTTTGAGTTCTATATGCTTCACTGATCTTGATATCAATTTCCAGTCTCATGTTTGGGAAATTTTCAGCTACTACTTCTCTAAATATCCTCTTGATATCCTTTATGTTGTTCCCTTCTTTTTCATTTATCCCTATTAACCTTATGTTGTTTCTTTTTGCATCATCTTGCAGGTGTTGAATTGTTATTTCCTGATTTGTTGTTATTTTTAAAACATCTTTCCTTTCTTGTTCACTGGCTGCAATCTTATCTTCAAGGTCTGAGATTCTATCTTCACATTCATTGAGGTGTGGTTTTTACAACTTTCGATGGAGTTTTTTTTTCCTATATATCTCTTTGCATCTGCTTTATATATTCTGTTTGTTTCTTATATTGTTCATCCAATGATTATATATTTTTGTTTATCTCAAGTTTTTAAACTATGTCTTCTTTAGATATGTTCAGCATCTCCTTCATTTCTTTTATCATTTCTTCTTTTACCTGAGAAATTATTTCTACTTTGATTTCCTTTAAGGCTTCCCTGAGTTGCTTCTTTATTTCAGTTACTATTATTTCAGGTATTTCAGGTATGTGGCATATATTTTCTTCTATGCACATGGCTCCTAGGCTTTCTTGGGATGGGCTTGAAGTTTGAGACTGCATTTTGGTCTTTTGTTTTGTCATTTTCCTATATTTTTGCGCTTTGAGTTTTGTTCCAAGTGAGGTAGAGAGGTCAGTCAGGCTGGAACAGAAATCTCTGCTCCCGCCTTACTCACTGATTTTGACAGAAAGCTGGATCCTGGGCCTCAGGCAAAGAAAGCAGTTTGCCAGCCTAGGGCAGGGTTACTGGCCTCTGCTGGTCTTAATGGACCAACAGGGAGCCGGAACCTGGCCCCCAGGCGAAGAGGAGAGTTCCACGCCTCCACTGGACTTACATGACCCACAGGCAGCGGGATCCTGGGCCCCAGGCAAAGAATACAGTGTGTCGGCCTAGGGCAGGGTTCCTTGCTCCGCTAGTCTTACTGAACCAACAGGGAGCTGGAGCCTGGCCCCCAGGTGTTTTCCATGTTTTGACATGTATCATATGATGCTTTTTTGTAGCTAAATATGTTTTTCATATGCATCATAGTTTTGGATTTCCTTCTTGACTGCTTTGGCCAATCTGTTGAATCTGTTGGTGAATTGAGACCATTCACTTTGGTTATTATAACTGTTATGTATTGACTTATCCCTGTCATATTGTTTTCCTGCCATTGTTTCTCTTATTTTCCTTCAATTTAATTGATTGTCTTGTCTAGTGGATTAAGTATATTGGAATTCCTTGAATTGTTGTATTTTTCTAGTGTATCCTTCAGAAATTTGTGAGCTCCTGGTTTGGTGATGATGAATTGTTTTAAGTGTTATTTTTCATGAAGTATCTTATTTCTCCATTAATTTTGAAAGATAATTTTGGTAAATACCTCAGTGTGGGTGGGAGGTGGTATTCTTTTAGGGGTCAATGTACTCTACTCCATGTTCTCCTTCACTTAAGTGTTTGAGTTAGGATGACTTCTACAGTTCTGACACATTTTCCTTAGCAATTAATTTGTATCATTTTGCTAAAATCTTTTAGTATTCTATTTTTATGTTGAATTTCTGGAATATTGACTTACATTTCTTGGTGTAGTTTGTTTTTTTCTGATCATGACTACTTTGAGTTCTACAAACTTGACTTATCCAAACCTCAAATTCTGTTTCCATGATTAAAAAGCTGTCTGATACTAATTCTGTGAACAGATTTTATGCCCTTTGTATTATTTTCTGATTCTTGATTGATTTAAATCACATTTAAATGTTAGTGTTCACTGAATAATCTAGATTAACCTGGATTAATTTTTGTGGTTCCATGGATATTTTTATGAGGTCTTTCATTTGATGATCACCAACCACAATCTTGTCTTTTATATCTGATATTGTATCTTCACATTGGTTGACTCTGATGAACAGCAAAACCTTTGATTTTAATCATTCTACTAAACCTCTGTTATAAAAAGTGCATGGTTTTGGCAAAAAGCAATAAATGAAGTTATGTGAAAATCAGTGAAACACAATGCAAGATGCAGAAACAACTCCATGTGCACTGAGGTAAGTAATCTTTCATAAATGGACCAAATGCTTTCACAGGGAGAATGATGTCCTCTTTAATAAATAATGCTGAGAAAACTGGCTTGCTGTATGTTAAAAAATTGAGACATACATCTCACCATGCACTAAACTAAAATTAAAACCATTTGAAGAATTAAATATTAAAACAGAATCACTGAATCTACTGGAAGATAAAATAGGTGAATCTCTGAAAGACATGAATGAGGGGAAAAACTTTATGAACGTCACCCTGGTTGTACTGGAAGTATTACAAACAATAAACAAGTGGAATCATTTCAAATTAGAAAGCTTTTCCACAGTGAAACAAATCATCAACACAGTGAATAGACAATATATAATGGAAAAAATTAACAGTCAGTCCTCAAAGACTGACATCTAGAATATATAATGAATGCAAAAAATTCAAATTCTCTTAATGTAACAGCTGCATTAAAAATTGACATTTAAAGTGAATACAGATTGCTCAGATCAAATATCTTTTTTTCTTCCAGAGTCTCATCTTGTAGTTCAGACTGGCCTTGAACTCAATATTTAGCCCAATTTGGCCTCAAACTAGCAGTGATCCATTTGCCTGAGCCTTTCTAATGCTGTAATTGAAGAAGTAGGCCAAGATGCCAGGTATAATTTAAGGGCTGATTCTGTGAAAGAATTAAAAAGATAGACAAACTTGTAGCATATCTTACTAAAATAAGGAAAGAAAAGTTCCAAATATAAGCAATTAGAAGTTAAAAAGGAAAAACAAATCAAAATGGATTCTGCCAAGATCATTAATATTTTGTGCAACCAGTTTGACAACCTGTACTTTAGTAAAATAGAAATTCTGAGGATTTGGAGGGATTCCTAAATATATACAAAGTGTCCACGTTGAATCAAGAATATTTCAAAATTCTAAAAATTTCAATATTAGTCAATGAAACTAAAGAGCTAAAAATTAGTTAGCAGCTATGAAAAGTCCAGGTCCTGGTGGATTCTCTGCCAAATTCTGCAAGATTTCTAAGGAACTAACATCAATGCCTTCAAAGTCTTTAATAAACTTGGAAGCAGTGGTACCAGGTAACCCTGAAAGTAAGCATTATCCTGAATTCAAAACCTGAAAATGACCCAAAGAACAAAGAAATTTGCTGGCCATTCTTTTGAAGCACATGGATGCAAAAATCGTTAGTAAGATACTGGCAACCAGAATACAGCGTATCATCAAAAAGACACATCATGACCAAGGAGAATTAATACCAGGGATGCATGTACTGTTTGTCACACGCAAATCAATAATGTAACCACATCAAAGAAAGGACGCTTTCCTGATATCATTCCCAAAGGATTAATAGCCTCACAAAACAGTGATTTATACATAAACCATGTTTGTATGATAACAACACTACTTATAAAGTAAAAGATCTGGGAGTGTTTATATGTTTATCGATGGATGAATTGATAAAGTTGTGGTATTTATACACAATATTCCAACACTGTGCCATAGAGAATGATAAACTTGTCCCTTTTTCAGGAAATGAGTGCACCTGGATATGATTTTGTTATATGAAGTAAATCAGGCACACAAGCTTAAGTACTGTATATTTTCGCTTATATGAGAGTCAACGCATTATTAAAGAGTAAAATAGAAGATAGACAATATAAAATGTCAACATGGATCTTTTACCTATGAGAAGGGAATCTGTAGCCAGAGGAAGAGGAGAAAGAGAAATAAATGAAATTAAAAGAGGGGGTGTGAAGTGCTATGTATATGCATGATGTCACTATGAGGAAATTAATTGTCATGTATTCATAACCCACTACTATATATAAATACTACACATGCACACACACACACACACATACACACACACACACACACACACACACACACATATATATATATATATATATATACATACATACATACATAAATATATATATGTATATATGGTTATACATATATATATATATATATATATATATATATATATATATGTTTATATGGTTAAAGTGTTGCAGAGAAGGGGAAGAGAGAACTGAGAGAGTTACATGAATTAAGAAATGTCAAGTACATAGTCCAGCTCCTCACAATGAATTTAATCAAACCTTTACAAATAGAAATATTAGAATATAAAACTGAAATAATTGTAAATTAAAAGCTAAATTACATTTAAGATATTAAGTTGTTATTGAGACTAAAACTAACCGGCTCAGAGAATTCCAGTTCTGAATGTCTTCATTGTTCACTTCTTCAAAACACCTAATGAAGAAATAAATATTTTAAAAGTTTTCTAAATGTAAAAAATGTGAAAAATTTTGTCATCATTTTTATGAGATTGTAATCTTGACATAAATATTTGACAAGTTAAATAGTAAAACTGCAAATATATATCTCAAAAATAAATATACAAAGTTATTTAAACATTGTTTTGAAAATTCAAATATAGGAAGTAGTACTACCTTATGGAGATTATTTCAGTTTGGTTTAACATTTACATTTACTATGTTAAGATTTTACAGTAAAAAAAGAGAAATGATGTGCTCATGTTAATAGGTAGAAAAATATTTTAATGAAATACAAAGCTTATTTGTAAAACTCATTGCAAAGAAGAAATAGAAATGAGCTTCCTCAATATTTTTCAACCTTTTATTAGAATCTGTTTGCATTATATAAAATTCTGTTAAGTTCAGCAAGTTTGTACATCTACATATGTTTACAAGCACTCTTAATAGTATAGAATAATTTATATTACTTGTATAAAAATCTCATCTCAATGTTTAAGTATTTAAAATTTTTTCATGAGCTCAGCAACAGGACAAAATGTTTACTAGTACACATTTGTTTTAATACTGCATTGTGTAAGTGAAACTTGAAATTAGAAAACGCAATAAAAAAGTAATTTTGAAGTTTTATGTTAAGAAAAAAGACATAAAACCATCATTATTAATAGGCATCATTAATATTGACATAAAATTTCAAAAATCCATAGATAAACTATTAGAATCAATGAGTGTGTTTATAATGAACAGAACTGTAGACCAAAGAAACAAAAATAAGGATAATGAAACAACTCCAATCAATTTCAACCATCTTATTATAAAAGTACACTGAGAACACAGAACCTTGTTAAGAAACTTGCAAGAAAAATTGATCATTCTCATGCAGCATAATCTAGACACATATCTGACAGTATAAAATGGAAGATATCAAAATGGTTAAAAAATCTGAATAAAAAAAGAAACAAAACATACTGGTTGATAGAATAATTAAATCTATTGAAGATATAGGCCTAGATAACTTTCTGAAAAGAATCTCAATGGCACAAGAAGCAAAAAGGTACTCAAAAATGGGATTATATCAAAATAAAAGCATCTGCATAGCAAATGAAACAAACAATGTAGTGACTAGAAAATACAGAGAATGGGAAAATTTAGCTAACTACCTTTGGATGAAGGACTAATATGTAGACTATACAAGGAACTCAATAAATTGAGACACTTCCACAAGGAAAAACCCAATAAAAAATGACAACTGAAATGAATATATACTCCTAAACACACACACACACACACACACACACACACACACACACACACACACAAACACACACACACGTTGTCCAGTGGTGTATATGAAATGTTCCACATCTTTTGCTATAAGGAAATGTAAATCAAAATAAAAATGGGATTCTATCTATCCAGAAAAAGAATGGTTATTAAGAAAAAAAAAAAAAAAAAAAAAAAAAAAAAAAAAAAAAAAAGCACGTTTTCCGGAGAAAAAGAAATCCTTTTCATATTTCACTGAGAATATAAATTGGTTTAACCACTCTAGAATCAGTGTCAGCTTGCTTCAAAAAACACAAAGATAGACACCCCACAAATCCATATATAACTCTTTTTGCCATCTCCCTGAAGAGATAAGCACACCATATTTCAGTAATAAAAGTGTGCCTACATCTATGGAAACTATGCATAATAGGTAAAATTAGAAAGTAGCTTATAGTTTCATCAACAGAAAAATGACTAAAGAAAATATGACCATGTAAGATGACACATGTATGTTATTCGAGCACTCAAAAGGCTGAGGCACGGGCTGGGGATTTAGCTCAGCGGCATAAGCGCCTGCCTTGCAAGCAGAGAGTCATGAGTTCGATCCCCGGTACCGATAAAAAAAAGAAAAACAAAACAAAACAAAACAAACAAAAAAAGGCTAAGCACAACAATGAGTTATAAATCAGACTAGATTACATAGTGAGTTCATAATAAGGCCAGTCTGGACTACAAAGCAAGATATTGCCTCAAAAATAAAAAAAAAGAGGAAAGAAAGAAAAATGAAAGAGAGAGAGAGAGAAAGAAAGAAAAAGAAAAAAAGAAAAGAAAGAGTAAGAAAGACAAAGTAAATAAATGTAATAATCAGAATTCTTATGAGAGATAGAGAGAGAAGAAGGGTCAGAGGAGAAGTCAAACTGATTACAAAAGTCGAATGGGGTGGTGCATTTTGAGAGAAAGAAAGGAGCCAAGCCAATGGTACAGAGAGTCCTCAAAAGCTAAAAGTGTAAGGAAATAAATTCTTCCTTAAAATCTCTAGAAAAAATGAACTTTGTAGACTCCTTGATTTTAAGTCAAAGAAATTAATTTGGCTTGACATCCACAACTAAAAAATTATGCTGTTTATGAATTTATCCTTTCTAAGTCGCTTAATTTACTGCATCTTTCTACAGTAATAATAAAAAATATGCTGGAAGTATTTAGAGGAAAATGTTTGAAAATGGTTAGAATAACTTTAGCTGATAGTAGAAAATAGTGACTATAGATTAGAGTTAAAGCCTCGGTTTAATATTTAATATAGATGTTAAAACTGTTACAGATTTCTGCTCAGAAAGAAGTGAGGAGCACAGTAGAGGAAAACTATATTATACTTAAAATATCTAAATAGTTATCAAGTAAGTGTTGGTAGAAATATGAATGTTAAAGACAGTGCCAATGAGGGCTCGGGTGGAATTGAAAATCCTATTAGAGATTGAAATAAAAATGACCTTGTTGTGTAAACTTGGCTTAATTTCACACTTATATGAAAATGACATATTTTAATTGAAAGACTTGGACATTTATTTCATGAGATTTTCAATAAAAAATTGGAGATGTGATGTTGCCTCTGTGGCTTATAGTAAAAAAAGAAAGAAAAATAATAAAATTTAGGGAATAAGTGTTACACAAAAAGAAGAGTTGCTTTCTTCAGTTTTATGAATATTAAGTGTAAAAAAGTCTCATGAAAAGATGATTTGAGAGTAAATATATATAGTACATTGCATATTACTATCTTTAAAATAGTTACTCAGAGTATGATACATGGATGCAAGAAACTAATTGATAGTAGCACAGATTTTCATCTTCTATCAATCTCGAGACACTAATAGCAAAACTAACTTGCATTTTTTCTTTTGCTTTCCTTCTTTTAACCCTTTCCCCCATCCTAGTTCCTTTTTCCTTTGAAACAATTTATTCCCTTTTCACAATGTCTAATGTATTTTCTATACCTTATTTACTCTTTCAGTTTCTCACTGCAGGGAGACCAAATGATTTTTCCACATTTGAGTCTGGTTTTCTTCACTTATGCATATAGTCTATAGTTACATCACCATTTACTTATAAAAGTAATATATCCTTTATTGACCCAGTTCAAAAATATGCATCTGAGATGAATGAATTGCACACTTCTCAGATGATGAAATACAAGTGGCAAATAAATACATGAAAAAGTGTTCAACATCACTGGTTATTCATGAAATGAAAATAAAACAACATTGAGTTTTCTTCTCTCCCCAGAAAAAAATGACTACCATTTAGAAACCAACCAATAATAAACACTGGATGCATTATGGATTAAAGGACCACTTCTTCACTGTTGTTAGGAGGGATACATGCACAATTATTAGAGAATGTTATTCCAGCAGAAACTCTGGCAGTTTGGATTTTCAGAGACATAAAAAGGAAGGAAACAAGAAAAATAGTAAACTACCATAATTCCATAGTCAGAAAAGAAAATGAGAAATCTAACAAACTGCAAACTTATTAAAAGCACTTAGCAAAAAGGGTAGATAACACTGAGGGCAGATTTGAAGGATCAGAGAATAAAATCTCAAACCACAATAGAATACTAAGAGTCATTTGAACATACTCAAGTTGCCATATTTACTTTTTCTTATTGGTGAGACAAAATACTCAATGACCAATTTTAAGAAAGGAAAAGTTAAATTAACCCACACTGTGTAGAGTGTTCAGTCTTCAATCATCTGGCTCCAAGGCAGGATCACTTTTCAAAGGAGAACGGCTCATGGTGGTCAGATGTAGCAAATCAATAAAGTACCCTAACATCATCTTTTCACTCATTTTATGTTGTATATATTAGAGCCATGATTAGGGCAATGCCATGCCAATCAGTGGAGTGATACAATAATCACACATGCTTACCCTCAATATCAGATACTCTAGATCCAGTTACCACCGAAAAATCTCCTCTATGACTGCATGAGGTTTTGGGGGGACTGCTTGCCCAAATTGATTTAGAAATTTCTTAGGCACTATAAATCTTTTCTCCCTTAAATTTTCTCCTTTGTGAAACAGTAATGTCTTTGTTATCCTATTTCTATGTAATTATTATGATGTGGGAGCAGAAAATTTGTTTTCTACTTTTGAATTTCTACATATGAGGGTTAATTTTGATGAGCATGGATCATATGCAAAATAGTCTTTACTTCATTTAGATTATGGAAACAGGAACATTTGAATTTATGATACTTAGATGAGGTATTTGACTTCAGACAATAGTGAAATGTGTATGTTTTGACTGTGTTATCTTTTAGTGTATACATTTCATATGGTATCAACATGAAGAGTCAGGGTTAAGCATAGACTCCAGTAGTCTGAAAAAATTACAAATTTATAATTTCCTAAACACTGAAACATATGAATGCCAACTTACATGAAAAAAGGACATTTGTGTGATAAAGATTTTGAGTCAGATGAATTTAGATTACTTAGATCGATGCTAAATATAATCACAACTATATCCTTATTTTTTTGTCTCTGTCTCTGCGTCTGTCTCTGTCTGTCTGTCTGTCTCCCTTGCTTTGTACAAAGTTTTAAACTCAGGACCTTACACTTGCCAGGAAAGTGTCTTACCACAGAGCTGTATCCTCAGCCCATAACTATTTCTTATAAGGAGAAAGCAAAGAGGAAGATTTGTCTTTAAAAAGGGAGAAGGCAATAAACAAAAGAGAAGTTAGTGGAGTGATACAATCACAAGCACTTGACATTTTGGTAGCCATCAGAACCTAGAATAGTCAGTGAACAGCTTCTTCTCTGACAAATTTCTGTACTATTTGTTGCTCAGAATGGACTAATTTGCAATTATGTCCTTTCTAAAACCATGGTTGCACGAAATTTTCTAATTATAGTCACTAAATTTACAGTTATATGTCACTAAGGCAATAAGAAATATATACAGGGTAAAGAAGAATATAAAGATTTATCAGAGTGTCATTGTAATAGTGCATTAGTTATTTTATATTGTTTGGATAAAATACTTGACTCAGAAAACCTACAGAGAAAAGATTATTTTGGTTTATTGTTTTCACAGGTTTAGGCCATGCATAGAAACACTATCATGGAAAGGAATGGGAGAAAGGAGTAGTTCAACTCATTGCATCCAGGAAGCAGAGGTAGGGAGTAGCTGGAGATAGTCATACACCCTTCCACGTAATAACAACTGTTACTTACTCCATCCAAATAAGACCCACTTTCTAACAACAAATTAAAAGCTAAACAAATGAATATAGTAATTCACATATTAATATAACATCCCCGAGAGCTAATCAACTTCCAAGAGTTCCATCTCTTAACACAGATTTTTAGGAAAAGGATCAATTAAGAATACATAAAAGATATGTGTATGTGGGGTTACTTAGATAGATAAGTGAATAATGATGCCATTATCTGAAACAGAGAATCCATTGGAATGGTCAGGCTTTAATCGAGTAGATATGACAAATTTTTTGTTCATAAAATTATAGAGAATAATTGGACATGAAAGTGGAAATTTCAAAAAGTTGCATATAAATATGCAAATTAGTGGAGAGACCTAAAAATACATAAATATATTTTTGTAGATTTTAATTAGTATATATGATTACAACACATATTATATACATTCACCACAAAGAAATTATACATATATATATGCATAATATATATACATCTATATCTATATCATATCTATATCTATATCCTTGTAATTTTCTTTTTTTTGTGTCCTTTTCTCTTCATCTCACCTCCTCCCAGAAATTCAGCCTCATAAAGGAGGCACAGAAAAAGGTCATGATGATAATGTATGCACAATATTTGTACATAAGAAAGAGAAGAGGTCCAGGGACTGAATTTTTGAGCTTCCCAAGCCTAAGAATGGACAGGGGAATAGAACCCAGGGACGGAAGTTGAAAAGAAATAGCTCATAAAGTAGAAGAGAAATTTTAAATGTTTAGTGATATAATAAACAAGGGAGGACTAGTTCATTAAGGTGATCAACTATATGAAAGCTTGTTAGTAGATTTACGGATATATATATATATATATATATATATATATATATATAGCATTATATATATGGTTATATATGTGCAATAAAATATTCAATGTTTTTAAAAGCATGAATATTCTGATAATAGTAATGATTGCATGATGACATAAGAAATGAACTGATAATACAAGAAATGGTGTCACTTATAATGGGTAGGTCCTCTCTATTGTTATATTGTTATGTCCTGCTTTATCTCAATCTCCCCCTTATTGTTTTAAAAAATTATTTAGTCATTTCTTATGTTTGTCTTAATTAAAGAAAAAATTCAAAAAATTAGGATATATAAATAGTAACTCTTTTTAATTTCCTATTAACTTGTTTTGAAGTCCTGTAGTACTCCCACGATCTTGTTTTGACTGATTAGACTCTGTTCCATTCTATATGGTAGTATCAAGTTTGAAGACATAGGCAATTACTTTGAAGACAATAAGATTCTCTAAGATACCCATTCTGGTTTGACTATTGTCTTCTTTGGAAGTCCTGTAATGTTTACAATGCCTAAGTTTTATTGGTCTTGTTCTCTACTGTTTTGTCCAACTTTATAATATCTAATGAGATAGACAATTCTCTTTAAGGAAACAAGGGACAACGTTGATAACCATTGTTGATAAACTTGTACTCTGTTCTACATCATGTGCTATGTCTATCCTTGGTATTGACTGACAGCTCTGTTTTGCCATATTTGACTGTATTCTTCCCCCCCCAAAAGTAATAAGCACTAAGGAGTAATGAAATCCAAAGTGTGTGAATTTTGTTGTAAAAAAGAGAGGGAAAAAAAAAAGAAAAAGAGCTCTAACGGATATAACAGCAAGTGTGTTTAGGGGTGTTAAATAGCTGACTGTATCAATGTTTTTGGATCATTGAACACAGCTGTTTGCAGTCTACCTGTTTGAATGTCCACCTTGTATTCTTTGATACTGTGATTAGAGGAACTATTTTCAAGATGATAATATGTAATATACTAACAGGTGATTTCTTACTGTTATGTTTGTTTTGTTTGTTTGTTTGTTTGTTTTGTTTTTTTTGTTTTTTTGATTTGTTTTTTTTTTTTGTAGTTCTGTATTACGTGTACCCTTACACCGCTTTGGTTTGTTTTGTGTTTTTCTCTTTTTCCTCTTAAATAAAAAAAAAAAATTAAAAAAAATAATAATGGGTAGGTCCTTAGAAGTGAAAAAAATAAAATTCTGCAAGCTGTGAATTATCCATACTAAAGATGTATTCACATTCTTACACCAGTAAGTGCGTTCTTATTGGAAGTAGAGTTTTAATTTTTAAATCTGTAATCAGTTTAAGAAGAGATCAAACTTATTTTTAAATTTTCTCTAAATCAGTAGTATCCTTATAAAGGATATGAATTTGAATATGGATACAGACTAAGAAAGAATGAAATATGATGGTGGAGGCAAAGATTGAAATGATCCATTCATAAGAAAAATAATGATAAGAATTGGAAGAAATCACATAGCTTTAAGGGGCTATATTTATCATCACAGATTTAATCTAAAGCTGGATGTCTTAATTACATATATTTCCCAAGACTCTTCCTGTAAAACTGTAATTCTAGAGTAACAGAAGAGTTATATTTATTTAGTTCTTTTACTTTTCTTGGAAAAGATATCAAAATGAGCATTGGCATAACAAGAAAAGATGTATGTGTGGTTGTTTTTGCTGATACACCATGGAACTTAAAGAATCTGTGATGAAAATGTAAGCATAAAAATGAGGAGGGGATTCCTACAACAATGAAAAGATGGTAGAATTAACTATTTTTCTTTGTGGAATGGAAGGATGGAAAATTGTTGGAGTAGTGATATCAAAAGTACCTGAGGTAGTGGTTAAATAGTGAAAGGTTAAGAATTGAAATTTTGGAGAGAAATGTATGTGAATGAACTATTAAAATAGGAAAATGAAAATTTAAATGAAAAAGAAATCAAAGATTTTAAATGTTTGATATGAGAAAGATTACTCATGTGGTACAGACATCAGAAATTAAGATATGTGTATTAGTTCATGAAATGATAGTGGAACAATCAGAAAATAATGGCAATCTAAAGTTGACTGGAAAAGGACACATTAAATAAAGAAAAAGTAATATGTGATAAAATCTGATAATATAAGCTTAAAAGCTGATTATTTATGAAAGTAGCACAAAAAGTGGCACTACTGAATGTGGCCCTGACAAAAAAATCAACCATCTACTGCAATCCTAATGGAGAAAATGTGGAAAGGAAAATGTCATACAATCTAGAAGGCCACAAAAAGCAGTATATTTTGGGGCTGGGGATTTAGCTCAGTGGCATAAGTGCCGGCCTTACAAGCAGGCAGTCATGAGTTCGATCCCTGGTACTGATAAAAAGGAAAAAAGGAAAAAGACAAAAAAATGTGTAAAATTCATTCTTTTACTCATAAAGAGCTGCATATTTAATTTTATTTTTTTAAAAAATAACATGCGCTCACCTAAAGAAAGCAAAAGTTTAAATGAAAATTATTTTAAAAAATAAAATATAATCGCAGTAATTTATTTGGAATAATTATTCAGAATTTGAATTTCAGAATGAAAGCTTCTAAATTTTTGTTCTAATTTTGAGATCATGCACATTCATACTCTTTTATAAATCAACACTTCATATCATTCAACTATTTGCATGGAACTTTAATTTCAATTTCTTATTTAATTATGCAATTTTACATTATACAATATGATAATAAATATTTTATTTAATTATGTTGATACTGGAGATTTACCTCAGGACCTCATGCTTGCCAGGCAGATGCCGCACCATGGAGCTAAATACTCAGCTAAATAACACACTTTATAGGTAAAAATTTTTGAATTTTGATAATCTCCTATTAATCAACTTAGTATACATGAATATCACATTGTAGCTCACAGTCAATATGGTTATGTTGTGCTATTTATTATAATTTTCAAAAATATTTTAATATTGACCCTTAGAAACCAATACTGGAACATTCACAAGTACTCCAAAAATATTGTTGGTGACATTATTTTCAAAATAGGGAATCCTATAAAAATAAATTCATTTTACTGATTTTGATTGGATATGTCTTGTTAGAAAAATACAATAGTCTAACTTGTTACAAATAAAATTAAATATTTTGACATTTTTACATTATACCCTAATTTTTCATACTGTGTTCTGCTTTACATTTGTAGTAGTTTCATATAAAAGAATTATTTTCATAATTTTTAAAAAAAGATATGTTTATGAAAATACTGATGCTCAGAAACAAAAAATAGTCAAGATCATACAATTACAGTACACTGTGCAAGAACACAAACTGTGTAAGCCTTAAGAAAAGCCACCTAATACATGATGGGCTTTTAATGTACATTTAAAAGAAAATTTGAACTATAAAAAGACCATGAAAATGTTCTTTATATTAAAATATACAAATTACAACTAAATTGAGCCTAGTAATCATAAGAAATACTAGAAAGTATCATAAAAAAAAGACTTACAACCGTGGACCAGACATTTCCCCTGCTTATATGTTGCCAGAACTTCAGCACTACAGGATCACCCTGGTGATGTTGAGGTATGACATCATAAAGAGATTGTGAAGTACAAAATTAAAAGGGAAACAGTAGTTACATGTTACTGCAAATGTGTTCACATAGGTTTTAAAATCTTGTACTAAGATTCAGTCAATTATTTATTGATTTTTCCTGATGATTTAATAATTATTTTATGTTATTTAATATTAGTTGTTAGTGTGCATATTTATACACAGGTGTGTATGTAAGCATGTTTGTATCAACGTGAAAATTACATGTGATAAAAGGAAAATAAAATATATCTCTCCTAAAATGAGCGGTTATGATTCACAACATTTTCTTCACATTTAGGCCTTTTTACACTAAATCATTGCATGTTTTTAATAATAATTTTCCAAAATAACTTGAAGGTTTCATATTGGTTGGTATGTTAACTTGACAAAGGCGAAACGCTCATTGTAGTCAGGGTTTATGAGGAAAAATATTTAATACAGGACACAAAATTTATAGGATTATTTTATAATATTCACCTAATGTGTCAAATACAAAAGAGTGCAGGAATTTGTTCACACAGCAGAAACACCAACAATCCAACATGTGTTTGTGGGATTTTTGCAGTATATTTTATCATTAATTTCTAATTTCAAAGTGCTATGATCTGATAACATGCAAGGGATAATTTCAACTCTTTTGCATGTATTTAAATACGTTCTGTGAGCTAATCTGTGGTCCGTTTTAGAGAATGGCCCATGTACTGCTGAGAAGAATGTGTATTCTGATGTTGTTGGATGGAGCTCTCTGTATATATCTACCAAGTCCATTTGTTCACAGGTGTAATTCAGTTCTTTTATTTCTTTGCTCCTTTTCTGTCTGGTTGATCTGTCCCTTGGTATCAATGGTGTGTTAATGTCTCCTGTTACATTGTGTTACTGATAATTTAATTTTTCATTTTTGTTAATTCTTGTTTTATATAACTGGATTCTCTGGAATTTGATTCACATACATTTAAGATAGTTATCTCTTCCTCTTGAAGTTTTCTCCTAACGAGGTATGTAGTGACCTTTTTTGTCTCTTCTGATCATTATTGTTTTAAAGTTCGCAGTTTCTGCAAACGGAATGGCTACTCCCTCCCCGCCCGTTTTTTATTTTTTTTTTGTTTGTTTGTTTGTTTGTTTTTTTGGTTCCTGTTGCATCAAGTATTGTTTTCCATACTTTGACTTTCAGTATTTGAGTATCCTTCTTGGTTAGATGGGTTTCTTATAGACAGCATATGGTTGGATTTTGTTTCTTTTTTAAATTTTATTTTGAAAGTGGTAAAATACAACAGAACAAGACAGAATAAAGCCAACTAAGATCATACAGTGAAATTGGTACAGAACTTCACATCAGGTTACCAGGATAACAGTAATAGGTATCACAGTATATTTTGTTATCTTTATATTAGTTGTTCTTTCAATCACATATATCAAAATGAGATGAAATACAGAACATTATAGAAAAAATCAAAACAGAATGTTTGATAGAGCAGTACCATTAATCGGAATAGAGCAAAACAGTAATAAAAATATTTGCATTCAAAGAGATGGTAGAAGGAAGTCCACCTTATTTGCAATGGTCAACCTCCCAGCAGACACGAAAATTTCTGCTTCCCATTTGCTAACAGGGGGGACAGGAGAATAGGGGTAGGAGAAGTGGGATGTTTGACTCTATATCGTGCATCAGTAGGCTCACTATTGCTTATCTGGGAGGCAGGCTGGTTGTTTGGTTTCACATCATCCTGAGTTCCAACATGGCATGGATCTCAGGAGCTGCTGCTGGTTCTCCCACTAGAAGGGCCACAGTCTGCCACACCACCACCACTTACCCGGGAGGGGAGGGGTTTATTCGGCTTCCCAGTGTCCTAGGTTCCAACATGGAGTGGATCTCAGGAGCCTCTGCTGGTTCTCCCCCTGGAAGGGCCACAGTCTGCCACACTGCCACCACTTACCAGGGAAGGGAGGTGCTTGCTTGGCTTCCCTGTGTCCTAAGTTCCAACATGGCATGGATCTCAGGAGCTGCTGCTGGTTCTCAGATTTTTTTCTTGATCCATTCTGCCAGTCTGTTTCATTTAGTAGGTGAATTTACACCATTAACATTAATGGTTATAACTGTTATATGTTAGTTTATGGTTGGCATGTTATCTGTTGAATCTTTATTTTTCTGTTCTGTTTAGTTATCTGATTTGCTTAGTTGTTTTTTCTTAAGTGTGTCTAAACTGTCTTTCAATATTTTTGTAGGGTTGGCTTGGTGATCATGAAGTTCTTCAGCTGTTCTTTGTCATGGAAATATCTTATTTCACCATCGATTTTGAAAGATAGTTTTTCAGGGTACGTCAGTCTATGTTCAAAAACATTTTCCTTTAGGATCTGGAATATTGCACCCCATGTATTCTTGACTTTATTGTTTGTGCTGAGAAGTCTGCTGTGATTCTAATAGGTTTTCCTTTATAAGTGATCTGTTTTTTGATTATCTTACAAAACACTCGATTGTGATTTATTCTTATCATTCACTATTAATTCGCTAAAGCTTTTAATTACTTCTTTAGTCATTCTTGGTAGCTTTCGTTTGTTCAAGAATTAATCTATTTTTCCTAGCTTTTTAAAAAAAATTTTAGTATATAATTCATAACAATTTCTTATAATCCACTGTGTTTCTGAGGTTATCTGTTATAAGTTTCTTTTCTTTTAGCTTATAGCTATATATTTGGTACTTTTCTTTTACTTGGTTATTCAGGATAAAGGTTTTCCTACTTTGTGTGTCTTTTAAAAGATTACATTTTACTGTACTAATAATCTGAATTGACTTTTCACTTTGAAAATGATTTATTTCTACTTTAAACATAATTTATTTCTTTCTTTTTATGTTGGTTTTTGTTGGTTCTAGATGTTCTAAGTATTTTATGTTTCATTAAATCATTTACTTAAATCTGTGGTTTCCTAGTGTTCAAAGAAGGTATATATTACTATTTTCAGTACTTTTAAGTGTTCAAATTTCATTTGTGATCTCATATATGATATATCACAAAGATCATGATACATACTGATAAAAAATTTATTATCATATAAGTATTCAATGAAATGTCATGGAAACAATTACTAAAAATACTTTTCCTCAATAGTATTTGATTCGCAGTGATTCGCAATGATGTTCACAATGATGTTTCTATTGATTATTTTTGGGTGACTTGTCCTTTTTTAGAATTTTGAAATAACTCTACTTACTATTAACACAGCTTTACAGTGCATAATGACCGTATTCATTATGGAAGATGGCAAATGTATATAACACATCTTAATTGCTTTTTTGTTTCCCCTTCATTTCATTCTCCCTTCCTCCATCTCTTATTTCCTCTCCTATTTGAAAAAAAAACATCCTTTATATTAATTGTATTGTCTCCTTTTTATTAGTTGTATTTTGTAATTTGATTTGTGTTTTAAAAAATTTAAAGTTGTGATTTCTCATTAAAAGAATCATGAATTCTCTGAATTTGTGATTTTTATTTCACTTAAATGTATTGCTCAGGATATGGATATCATTCTTTTTCTTGACAGAGTAGTGCTACATTGTGTATAATTGCAATAATTTATTATGTAATTCATCTGTTGGTGGAAGTATAGGGCATTCTTAAGATTTATTTATTATGCATTTTGCTTTTATAAATATAGGAATACAGGTATCACTAATATGCAATACCTTTGACAAATTCAGGAAAATACTTAGAAGCAGAATACCTGGGTCAAATAAATGTCTACTTATAGCCTTTTGAGGATTATTCTTTATATTTTTCATGGTGGTAATATTAATTGATGTCCAATTATAGTTATTTTCTCATTGCTGAGACAAAGTACCTGACACTCAGAATAGTAAGGAGGAAAAATTCATTTTGTTTCACAATTTGTAGAGGTTTCAGTTCATAAATGACAGAGGGGCATTACAGAGGAAAATCAGCTCATAGAATCACATTGGAAACACTAAGAAAACAAGAAGAAGGAGGGAGAGATATCCATCAAGGTCACACCGCAAGTGATCCACCTCTTTAAACAAGATCTCACCTTTGAACATTATATTTAGCTGTTAGTATCATAGCCTTGTGATCTTATCTCTCCTAAAAGATATACCTATAAATGCTTGAGACTTGGGGGTAGGCATCTCTATATGAACCATAACGCATTCTCACACATGATATTAAGAAGCTCCTTTTTCACTGAGCCTCACCAGCACTAGTATTTAATTAATTTCTAGATGATAGCCATTCTTTGTGGAGTAAAATGCAATTTCACTGTTGTTTTAATTTCCATAATGGCAAGAGATGAAAAGATTTCATGAACAGTATTTTTGTCTATTTGTAATTCTTCATCTTTTGAGCAGTGTCTATTCATTTCTTGCACAATTTTTGTTTGATTCTTTTAATTGGTGGAATTACATTTTTTGAGTTCTTTATAGATCCTACATGATAGTCTTCTGTTTAAAAAAATAAATCTTATTGTTATTCTGTATTCAGTCTCTTCACTTTGTCAGTTATTTCTTTTTCCCTACAAATATTTGTACTTGGATTTATATGTCTTTTTAAAAAATCTTGTGCCATTACGGTTCTGTTTAGAACATCGTTTTTTTTGCCTACATCTTCAATCATCTTACCTATTTTATCTTCAGCCACATTAAGGATGTCTCTTATAATATTTGCATTCTTCGTCCATTTTTCTTTTTATTTTAGTGCATGCTGAGATATGTAGGCCTAAGTTCAACCTTCTACATGTGGGTAACCAGTTCATAGTGGTTTCAGTACATAGTTGGCAAAGTCCAAGGCAGTGTGGCATGGCAGAAGGGTATTACAGAGGAGAAAATCTTTATGGTTACAGAAGGCACTAGGAGCAGGTGACAAAAGCAGCCTTCTTCCTCTCCTTTATTATTTGTAAAGACCAAAGTAAAGAATAACCATCATTATAGTGTAAAAGTATTAATATTCACTGAGTTCTCTATAGTATACAC